GATATGATTGCTTCTAGTGTGTGGGCAGACCGTGTGGCGAAATTACGTTCGTGATGTCGCAGGGCCATGCGCGGCCTTGGTGGAAAGTGCGTTTGCCGTGCCACTCGGGAGCGCAAAACACGCTGGTGTAAACGCGGCGTGTCGCTGGTGAGCGGGATGATTGGCGGCGTCGTGAGATAGGATTGCTTCTAGTGTGTGGGCAGACCGTGTGGCGAATTACTGCCGTCGCATCTGCGCATGTACGTCTACACACCCTGCACATCCACACTGTCATTCCTTCACGTCCGCCCTCTCTTTCTCTCTTTCTACATATCTTTTCTCTTAACACGTTAAACCTAATTTCTTCGCAACTTCTTACTCAATAACAGAGTGTATAAAGAAGTCATGGCTCATGGACAATCACCTTTCTCGCTCTCGGGCCAACCGTCGTCTAGTTTTTTAATTTTTAGGGTTCCAAGTTTGCCAACCAGAGGATGTATAGCCGGCTTCGACCCAGTGCGAAGGTGAAGTGACTTGTTTAGGCATAGCTTCCCGCCGCTTCGCTTCACCGAAGCAGAGGCGTTGGTGAAACGAGGTCTGGGACTCCATGGCGGAAGTCGAGCTGGAAGCTGGTGCGTTGGAAAGTATCAGCACTGTCTTGACACAGAGCGGGCAAGTTGAGTATTCCCAACTCCTACAGCTGCACTCTAGTTCCGGATAGCGGTGGTAATTTTGCGCGCGCAATCCCAGCCAGGGTCTCGGGTGAGAAACTTCTTGTTGCAGTTCCCTACTCTGCCTGGCGCCGATCAGTTTTAAAGCGTTTGCTGCCCCCTCAGGGACTTAGCAAGCCGTTGGTGGTGGAAGTTGGCTTATGTCAAGAAGATTGCGTGGATGCAGAAATTCAGGAGACGAGGTGTGGATGGGTTTCGAGTCCACAGAACTGGCAGCTCTTTTGTGTCTGGCGGGGGACGAAGAAACCCCTGCCTTACCCTTTGTGGAAGGCGAGAATTTGATGGATGTCTGCCCTACGCTGCTGCTGCTGCTGCTGGTGCTGCTGAGGAGCATTTTGCTTTCGAAACAGCTGGGGTGGACTCGGAGCAAGAACTAGTTCGCGCAGACAAAGGAGGATCTGGAGCGGTGATGGAGCGGTTTGTGTGATGGAAGGTCGATTTGTGACCATGGGTTCGAAGCTGGAGACCTTGCCGCAATCTTTGGGGGTGGGTGGTTCTAGGAAGGCGGAGAAGGAGAAGAAGAAGACAGAACAACCGAGTGCTCCCAAGAAGAAAGCTACAGTGGCTACAGCCCAGGAGAAATTCCCAGCCTCTGCCCTCGGAGTTTGGTGTGGGAGAAGACGCACTGGTCGAGATGCAACGCTTGCTGGGCGCCGGTTCAGCGAAGAGGTGCTAAGATGCCAGAGCCTCAGGTTGGGAGTGTGAAGATCAACCAACCGGCGCAGACCATCTTGTCCGAATCTGGGAGGCGCATATGGATCTGTAGAGGCTCCGCATTTTCTCACCTGGCAGAGATTGTCACCATGCTGACGGCGGGCAAAGTGAAGAAAGAGAAAGCCTCGAAGGTCGAGGCAGCTCTAGATGGGGCGTTAGCGTCAGGAGTGACGGAGGCAGGCTCGATCGGCAGCGGAAACTGCCTTCTGCGTTCATGAAGTTCCGGATGAGATCTACCAGTTGATAGAGCGAGCCATGCTGGAGTTTGACGTGACAGACTGTGACGCCGGGTCAATCGGCTCGCGTGCTTTGTTCACGGGCGTGGTCGAACATCGGAGCCGCGTAGGACGTTGGAAGTCAGCTGCGCGTTCAGCATGGCAATGGGTGGCCAAGGGCAACGTTGCTGGCGCCCGGGCTCGTTTTTCTCTTTTGATTTTGACGCTCGATCAAAAAGCCTGCGATCGAGGGTCTTGGGTGCTGTCGGTGGAGTTGAGCCTGGAACAAGGGCCACCCATGGCGTGGCGGCTCTCAACCAACATCAGCCGTTCAGTCGGCTGTTGGATGCCAGATGGGCGGAGGTGGTTATTGCTCACCTCCGAGACACAGACGATTTCATCAACCACAGGGCCAAGCTCGGGAAGGGCAGCCTTCAGCCCCAAAGGAGGCCGAAGAAGTGTGAAAGCGCATGACACTGCACCCTAGGGAGATGAGCGCTACACTTCGCCAGACTTCTTCTCAAGTGCAACAGTGGTTTGGGCAAGTGTCTCTTGGCCGATGCCAGTACTATACCCTCAGTTCAAGCCAGCGCGCGCCTTAATTGGACCAATGCCAATCGTCACTTTTGCTGCGTTCCCCGCATTCACGTCACGTTCCTGTGCCTCAGCTGAGGCCGCTCTTAAGAGCAAGGCAGGGGGCGTTGGAAAGAAAAGGCAAGAAGAAGCGTGTCAAAAGAAGTTTCAGTAGACTGTGGAGAAATTTCGCCGAAACAAAGCAGGTTATGAAGCCAATTCTTTGTCTGGCTTGTCGGAGGGACTCAGGTAACCTGCAGTCCTTCAGCTTGACGCCGCTTCGGGTTGGCGGCGGCTTCTTTGACAAATTTGACTTTGCAAAGCTAAAAGCAAAGCGACCACGGCCAGAGTCTGTATATATATATATATAGTTACGCCCCATTATATATACATCTTCAGGTTGGTATGGTCATGGTGCATTCTACGTGTATGTTCTGCAGCTGGTTGAATGATTTTTACAATTTTCGTAAATTTTTTGATTTCTATTGACTTCCTTTACAATTCCTTTGATTCCTATTGACTTCCTTTTCAAGTCCTTTTGAGCCCTATTGATTGTGGATTCCCTATAATTTGGTCTTGCAAAAACATTTGTGAGTCCTAGCTTTTTCTTCTTCAATCCCTTTTGACTTCCATGGATTGCCTTTTAAATTCTTTTTGTTTTTTTGTTGATGTCCTTTTGAATTCCCATTGCTTCTCCTATGTAGGTACATTCCGGATATACATATATATATATCTCTCTCTTCAGGTTGGTGTGGTCATGGTGTTCTAAGTATAATGTTGATGTTCAAAGTTAACACACACACAAGTGATAGTTGAACATGTCGGGATCACAAAGTTGGAACATGCCGTATGGCCACCAACACTTCGAGCACGAACAGCCAGCCCTGGTGACAATTGCTACGGCGAATGTGGCTTCTTGTTCTTCGCATTCATTTGGCTGCCCTGTCATTGGCAACCACATGCCTCCTTGTTTCTTTCTTTCACGTCCTTCCTGCCTTCGCGTCTTGTCATTTCATGTCCTCCTTTCCTTGGTGCGCGCACCAGTTGCCCCACAGGCGCCCCAGAATTTGTTTCAACAAGATTTGCTTGGCTCACCGGTTGTCCCCGCTAGGTTTCTTTCCGCTTCGTTGCCCCTTTCCACATTGCACGTTTTTCTTTTCATGTTGAAGCACCCCAGCGAAAAATATATTTGTGTGTGACTGTTTGTGCATGTCAGTTTACTGATGCAAGATACCAGCCAAAGTTGCCGAAGCGAGATCTAATGAGTGTAGTATTACCACTAGCAAGTTGCAGTTGTATTTGCAGCATACCGCAGCATACCCACAAATGCAGCTATACAAGTTATACGAGTCTCAAATGTATTGCCACCTCCGTAGCAGCAGCTCTAGACAACCACGCCTGCAAGCTGCAGATGTACTCGTAGCATACCTCTACATGCAGCTATATAGTAAGTCTCAAATGTATTGATGGAGATCTGTAACGCAAACCCTTTCTGCAGAAGAACCCTTCACAACGCACCCGGGAAGTAAAGAACAAACTAAAGTTCCTGGAGAAAAACAATTGAACTCTGCAGTGATAGTTTGAATTCCCAGTTGCCTTGGGGCAGATTGAAAATTGCGTGCCAGGCTCACAACTTAGCCAAAAATTGCCACATAGCTCAAACCTGAACTATTTGTTGTAGCTGCTCAAAAGGCCATCAGGTGGTGAAACAAGCAACACTAGTAAAATCATCGAAGCAACCCTTTTCCAATGCTGAATGCCTTTGGCACAGATGTAGCCTCTCTGTGGAGATGGTGTTATGATGCAGTTGTGGTGTTTGAATTCCGAACTTGAGGTCACAGCGCTCTTGAAACTTATTGGGCAGCATGGCCTCAAAAGCACGACAGCAGAAGATATCATCCGCAGGCCTGGTGCTGACCCCACTTTGAATTGGTATGTTCAGTTGTTTCTTGACTTCTCGGGATTTGCTGAGTTATCGGTCATCTCGAATGACGGACTTGCAGCAACGTTGCTACGAGTCACTGCCTCAAAAGACGGCAACAGTTGCGAGATGGAAGTAGTCGACCACAGTGCTTCCAGCGTCCAAACCTGGTTTGGCCCAGCACGCCTTCTTTGCCTTTGGGGTTTGGGTTGGGATGCCGCAATCAGGTTCGAGCAACTTCGACAGTCCCCAGCCCTTATGCGGAAGGTCCAGCCCTTGACACATTGTATTCTTTCCTTCATTCAGAGTACGGAGATCAGGTGCTTCCATATGATGCCTCCTGCGAGGATATTGCTGTCAACAAGGAACGACGCATGACAGACATGAAAGACCAAGCTTTGCCAGTGCTTGGTGTGAGATCTTGAATCACAGGATCTCACCTTCTTGGAATCGTTTGTTCGGCAAAAGCTGGACGAAGGCTTTCTTTGACATTCAAAACGTTGCAAAACGCCTCAGCGCATGAGAATTTGACAAGAAACACCGTCGAGGTGCAAAGCCATACCAAAATGCCTCCGAGCGTGCTGCTCGAGCGCAGACACAGAATGTGCCAAAGGCTTTCCTTTTGAGTGTTTGTGCTACAAAACCGGTGGCATCGAGTTCAGAAGGGATGCACGGAAGCAGTCACATGCACGCACAATATCTGAAGGAAAATGACAGAAAGTGCAGTACAGAAAGGATAAGACAAACAGTTACGTACAATAGTAAAGAAGAAAAACAACAAGAGAAGAGTCAGAGAAGAGGAACAAAAGAAGAAGAAGAAGAGGAGGAAGAAGAAGAAGAAGGAAGAAGAAGAAGAAGACGAGGAGGAGGAGGAGGAGGAAGAGGAAGAGGGATGAAAATTAGCCCAGCTGGAGACCCCAATAGCGAGACAAAAAGCAAAATCAGGAAACAGCTGCTGTTTTCACCACATCGACCATCTCTTCCTTGGACACCATCAACACATAACCGGGACACCATCACAAGATGACCGGGACACCGTCACAACACGACCGGGACACCATCAAAACATGACCGGGGAACCATCACAACATGACCAGGGCGCCATCACAACATGACCGGGACACCATCGCAACACTACCGCTCACAACGTGACCGGGAAACCGTCACAACATGACCAGGACACCGTCACAACATGACCGGGACACCGTGGCAACATGACCGGGACACCGTCACAACATGACCGGGACACCGTCGCAACATGACCGGGACACCATCACAGACCGGGACACCATCACAACATGACTGGGACGCAATCAAAACATGACCGGCACACCGTCAGGGACACCATCACACCATGACCGGGACACCTTCGCAACATGACCGGGA